ACTGGAGACGAGAATATGCATTTTGCAAAGCATTGTAAAAACCTGAAGGATGTAGAATCTAAAACTATGTTGTTATAGAGGACAATGTGCCATGGCTTTTGCGAAGCCCCTGAAATATCTTTCCTGTTCTGTTTAGGTTTTCTCTCTCCCAGGCTTACTTCTGTACAATGCTTTCTTTATAGTGGATAGAACAACTGAGCAATTACAACTAAAACTGCATTCGTTAATAAAGGTAAGGTTTTAAGTGTAAAGGCTAACAGGACAGAGAAAAAGGACAATTAAAGATCATCAGTTCCACCAAAAAACAAAGATCTCAGAAGCTACATGACTTGAAAAGGACTGACCTCTATGTAGCTTATGTGGTTGAAAATCCTCTCCTATGTATTTGCAGTATTAATTCCTCTTGTTATCTGAGGAGATCTGCTTTAATCAGATTCCTACAAACAAGTCAGGTACTTAGAGCAGAAGATCTTTGACACCCCTGCTGGCAGCACCAGTGGAGAGGCTGAAGACCAGTGCAGTAATGAGACCAGCTAACCTTTTCATCTCTCTGAAAACCTTTTGGCATCAGAGGGAGTCCCCCCGTTTCCCCCCTCCAGTCTCTCAGCTGTGGTCATTTAACACGCTTTTTTTGCAAAAAGCTACCTCAGAAGTCTCACATTTCAAAGACAGCAGTTCTGAACCGATGCTGCTGCTCTGTTCTGAAACCTCCTCTGTCACAGTGCCATCTCCTGTGCTATCTTGCTGCTTCGTGCAAGCACTGTACCTGAAATCTGGATCAAAAGGAGACTCATAAATTTGATCCTGCTTCTCTGCCTTTAGTGCAGCTTCTCCTACCTCCTATTTTCTAAATTTCTGGCACTGGTGCCCTAATAATGCTGGTCCTTGTTTTAAATTTAATCTCATTTTCACACAGAACTTAAGCCAGAGAAGGCAATGCCATCTGATATCCTCCAAAGACCTTCATCCCACAGAGCACGTGTGTTGTACGTGGCAAAAGGAGCTTGATGGCTGCATTGAGGACACTAGAGACAAGTAAGGTGACAGTTTAGGTTGCCTCATTCTTTAGACTTATCCGTGGAAGAAATCCTAAGTAGTTTGTGCCTGGTTACCCAAGTAGTGGATTTTCCTCCTGATGGTATGAGATACAGTGCAGCAAAAGTGCTACAACTGCACAAATCCAGGAACCACAGGACAAGCTTTAATTGATGTGCTTCTTTGTCCAAAAATGGCTGTGTTCATTATCAGGAGCTGGTAGTTAAAATAATCTTAAAATGTTTTCAAGGAAAAAATGAGGAGTGAAAAAGCCTCATCCAAAAATCACTGTGCTTTATCAGAGGAATAAAGACCTCACTGATCAATTAGCTTGAAAAATGAATAAATCAAGGACAAAGTTGAAGTTTAGCATCTTAATAAGCTATTGTTGTCACAGCCCAGTTTGAACATATCACTCTTTTGTTGACATTTTTAATGCTTTCTGTGGATTACCAGTACGCAACCAGTATATGAAAGCTTGTTAAGCCTCCACGTGCTCAGCCTGGCCCTAGCTTTAATGCTGGCTTAGTGCAATCTCTGCTGCTGGCACAAGGTCCGCGGGACTTAAACCTTGCAGTGCTGGGCATTGTGTTTCTCGCTAATCATTGTATGGGCTTACTCAAGTGTGTTTTACAAGCTTAGGGCAAATTTGTGAAGGTCCAATTATCTATATGTAACTTTTTTAAGAGGAGCCAGCCAGACTTCTTTTTTTTAGCTCTGGATCCTGCAGTATCTTTCTGTAACTAGTGGGGGGATGTGTTCAGCCTGGCTTCCAGCTCCAGCTGGTGTTTCCTTTCCTGATCAACAGAGAAGGCAGTGCGTTAGCCCATTCAAACTGCACAACTCTCGCATCCCTCTCTCCTGGTCCCCTATGGTGAATTTAAAGTTCAGAATGTTTTATAAATGCCTCGATCTTACGGCCTTTTGGATAAAATCTGTTATGGCAGCTTCCAGCCAGGTGCAAATTAAAATGCTAGGTTTGATAATTCTTTACTTACTCACAGAGCTTTCAGCCATGCAGTGCTACCTCAATTTTGAACTGGTATTGCAGACTGCTGTAAGTTTGAGGCAAAGTTGTTGATCACGTATCTCTCTTCTTTCATTTAGAGAAAAACAACAAACTATGTATGAGAATCTCGCTTTATGTTTAGGTTTTTTTTTTGTTGTTGTTGGTTTTCCTTTTCAGTCATTAGCAATTGAAATTGTGTGGTCCTAAAATGAAGCAAAGAGATTTTCCTTCCTCGAAAGATGCCACTTGCATTGCATTGCACAGACGTGTTTTAGAGTTAGTGCCTGCAGTGTGCATGTGGAGTTTTATCCCATCTTATTTTTAAACTGTGCATACCTCTTGTTCACAATCCTATTCCAAAAATACCTGGGGTTATCCTTATCATATTGCCCAGCTAACGGTAAGAAATAGGCTCAAGTGGCTCAGTATGGATTAGATTCACCTCTTATGCAACAGGGTGCAAGATCCAGGGAGAAGCCAGAGACCTGCCTCATGAAGAGCTCTGCCCTCTGTGAGCCAGGGAATCCCTTGGCAATGTCTCTTGCATATGCCAGGATGCTTCCCACTGACTTCACTGGAAGAATGCTGCACTGGAAAGGCATTTGTTTCCAAAGGCCAGGATAAACAAGGTCTAGAGGTTTCTGATACTTACATTAAATCACTCAAAGTGTTAATTACAGTTTTTGTAACCGTAATTAGTATTTTGTTATTTGTTTCCTTTTAAGCTTACCAGCTCTGGCTTACTTGGGAAATAGGACAAGTGTCTACACTTGTTTCTTCCAAATGCAGCTGAACAGATCCAGCCTATGGGAAAAGCATCTTTGCCATCTCTCCAGAAGGACATTTTGCCAGTTTTCTAGGATGTTCTGCCCCATTCACAAGGTTCGCTGGGCCTTCTGCTGTTTCCACCAGTTGTTTTCCCCTCAGCCTCATCTTGCCTCTCTTCGCCTTTTCCACATTTCCCTCCTTTCTGCCCACATTCCCAAAAATCAAATAGCTTCCTCATCCTGCACCTGCAGATCAGGTTAGATGGATGTTTTTTCAGACACCGTATATCTGTTCTTGTGTGCTGAGTTGTCTTTCTCCTCAGGTGTCTCTGTTCACCTTTGGTTGCCAAGTTCTTGCACCAGATGTTTTGATCATTTACTGACAACAACTGGGAGTTCAGGTATTTGGTAAACACAACCCACAGCAAGGAATGGATTCTGCATGTTCACCCAGGAGTCTTCAGTCAAAGATGTACCCCAGTGCAAAAGTATTTCAGGGTCTTCTCATGGCTGCAGTGGCACCACAGGAATTAAATTCATAGCTTATAAATTGTGCTTAGCAGTGAGAAAAACACTGAGCCTAGTTTCTAAGTATTTTATGTAATGATCTGTAGAATCAATAACTGTTTGGTTTCCTGCTCCCACCACAGGCTGGACTCTTGCTGAGTCAGTAAGGATCCGAAAGGAGATACCATGTGAAATTGTGTGATGCTGCTATGCAAGCAGTTCCTTGGTTGGAGATGTGGAGAGCACCTTCCTCAGCTTCCTCAGCTCTTCAGCAGGTTGCATGCAGTTGAGCTCTGTAGTACACTTTCTTGGCAGGTGTTATCACACCTATTTTTTTTAGCTAGATAAACCAAAACATTTGTCCCAAATAACTCTATGAATAAATAAAGCTGAAAAAATGGTGTCCCTGCCCATGGCAGAGGGACCTGCCTGGTGATCTTTAAGGTCCCTTCCAACCTAAACTATTCTATGATTCAATATGGGCAGTCCTCCTCTTGCAGCAACATGAAGACTACCTGTAAAACCCAGGGCATTCATAGTGCTCAACTACTCTGTAAGCTCTGGGCAGTAGGAAGCCACAAACTCCTTTCAATGAACAGTGGAAAATTCATTCCCAGATGAGAATTCCACATAAAGCATGTCACAAAACAGGGCCCTTCTAAGCCGTATTTTTCTGTGTAGAAGTAATGCAAGAACCTTTTGTCAGCTCTCTGCACAGTGACTCGTCCCCAGAGCATCATGTGCCCTGTAAAGATAGGTGTTCAAAGCCTGTCTTCTTAAAACCTAACCTATAGCACAACAAATGCCAGCTGGTAACCAGCTCTTGAATCTCACTTCAGTTTCCACATCCCCCTGCCCATCAACACAATGAAACACCAAGTGTTTGTTCTAATGTTAAACACCAGCTATGATTTTTAAATACCTTTAGGTCATACCTACAATTAGGAAAACAGTGACTCAGATCCAGAAGTGCCCCTTCTCGTTGGACTCTGAGTATCCCAAGGTGAAATAAAGGGTGAGTTAGACTTGTTATAGCTTTTTTTCTCTTTTTTTTTGGTCAACTATTCAGTGTTGCTCTTCATTATTTTTTCTATCCTTTTGAAAGCTTTAAAGCCTCCCTCCGTAACTGCCTCTGCTCCATTCACTGCTGAGTGGACGGTGCGCTGATCTTTTTCTCGGTGGGTAATGGATTTGGTTTGATTGCTTGACACAGGAACAATAGAGGGATAAACAATTGCATTCGCGCCCATGCAGCTCCCCATCTGTTGAGCGTGTGCGCCTTCAGAGGGAGCCAGTCAGGGACAGATGAACACGCCAGCCGAGCCTGATGTTAATGACATCAGTCATACAAGCAGAACATGTGGCGCAATAAATCAAAACCTAATTGAACTTTTGCTTGATTACATTGCCGTCCCACTGCCCGTTTCAAACATGGTGCTGTTTCCTGGGACAATACCCCCGACCCTGCAGTGGTTTTGCTGCCTATGGGAGGTGACAAGTGATATCAGCTTCTCTTCATTCGTTTCTTTCTTGAAACAGTGATGCCTTCCACTCGAAAAAATGCTTCCATGCTCAGGATGTGTTATTTGACCAATATTTATATTTCAAATAAGAAACATTACATGGATAAGACAGTGACAGCACATGTTCGCTGGCACTTTCCATCTAGGACTGTTGGTGGCAGACGTCTATAGGAGAAGACAGCACTAGTTTTTGTGTTAATTAACACACACGTGCTAGTAATGAAGGCTATTCATTAGACTGATATAATTTAATATCATTATTCACACTTGAAAGTGTTTCTGCCACATCAGCTGCTGGAGCCCATGAGCCAGTATTTTCTATCCTAGGTGTCCATGGCAGCAGTGAGTCACCAGAAGTTGGGGGGGCTGATTGTCATAAATGGGGAAAAGAACAGTTTCTGATGGGAGCATTAAGGAATTAAAAGCTTTGGCAACAAGACCCTTTATTGAAGTGTATAAATATGGACTTAGACCCCAGAACCTAAGTCATGTAGGAACCCATCTATGACTGAGCCACCTGCCCTCCCTCTGCAGCCACTGAAGCAGGGGGGCATATAGACATCCGCATGTCTGCCTGACGAGCCCTTCTTTCGTCATGTGCATTTGAAATTGCAGATGACTAAAGAAGATCAGGATTCAGGTGTAAATTTATGAACTTAAAAGGTAAAACACAAAATGCTTTTCTTAATATGCTCAGAATCAGCTCCTCATTATATGGGAGGAGCAATTTTTACAACAAATGTGTTAAAGTACACAAAGTATTAACCCAGCTGATTTTAAAAGTCCTGGCAGAACTTCTGTCAATGTTTATTCGCCCATACATTGGCTTCACAGAACAGACTTTAATTATTAGCCATTTATTGCAGAGGATTCTCCAAATGGGTAAAAGGAGACGTAAAATAAAATGCTCTTATCTGAGTAGATGCTTAAGTAACAGCTAAATTAAATCTTTGCATTAATAGTATTCATAGAAAGGCAGATGGGAGCAGAAAATGTTGCAATGAAGAATATGGAATGAGATGAGATCACAGCATCAGTCTGTCCTTTGTAGATCTGGACAATGATCACAGAGCCAGATTGGATTAGTGAAACCTATTTACCAGAAGTTCAGAGCGGTTGCATGAAGCAGAAAGGCAGTCAGTAAGGAGAGGTGGAAAATGCACCAGATTTACAGCTGCAGCGACGAGAATTTAGAAGTTTTCACCACTGTGATTTCATCCAAATGTGAGTACATCAAAACTGTAACAACCTCTGCGGGGTTGTCTTTTAGATGGATGGGGTGTTTAGCATCAGGAAAATCTCTGAAGTGAGCAGCTTATCTGTTCTGCTGTGCTCTGCTCGCGGTCCAGTGCTTGCTGCTTGTTTCTGGAGCTAATCCGTGCAGGTGCTTCGACATTGTGGCTGTGTAAAATCTTTGCACTGGCAAAACTGGGAGATCTGGAATCAGTGTTGATATACCTATGAGGTAATTGCTAAAGTGACAGCTTGCAACTGTGTGGCTATTCTGTGTAATAGAAAAGAAAATGAAGCTCTGCTAGCAGTTAGCAGCTCAGATGAAGTGGGTGAACTGCATGAATGTTGAATTTAAGTCTGCTGGCTCAATAAGTGGAACATTTCCAAAGCCATGCCCTGGAAATGAATGCATGATTAACATTAATTGCTTGTAATGAAGAGTAAGAACCGGACAAAGCCCAGTCTGCATTTGATTGAACAAATTAGTTTAAACTCAATGGCTGCATATTTCAGCAACAAGAAAGCAGGTAAAAACAGGGAAAACAAATTGTGGGGCCAGGTCAGATCTTTACTTGCAAGCTGCGAGCATGAGCTTTCAGCTGCTTAATTTCAGAATATAAGTGGAAATGACAAAGTGAACCATCACTGTAATTGTTTTTGTTGCCTGAAACCTGGGTCTGTACGTACAGACATCCTTTTGCAGGCAAACCCAGAAACATCATCTGCAAGGATTCATTCTTCCCTTCCTGCTCCCACTCCCTGCAGAAAATGATGTTTGCAGGGAGAGCACTGTTTGCATTGCTGCCTTTGTACGCCTGCACAAGTGGGTCACTGCTGGCTACCTCCATGATTCACTCTTCTTTCAATGGCTATTCAAGTAATTGCATGTTTGCTGGTGCTGGGACTTCCCTTTCATGCCTTGCCTTTCTTCAGCCCCTGTAAGCCTCTTGCTCTGGCAGACAACAGGCAGTGAGTTGTGCTGTGGATCATACGTACTCGGAAAATACGCAAATTTATTGCCGTTTGCCACATTTATTGTGGTCCCTTGTGCACTGGCCTGGGTACCAGTAACAGCACAAAATTACTTGCTCCTTTTCAGTACCTACATAAACTGTGCTGCTCACACTGCCCAGTAAAATCCATAAAACACGTAAGAGACAAGAAGATAATGCTTTGCAACGCTAAACTTCTCTGCACTTGAGTGTTTTGCTTGTGAGCAATTAGTTCTCACACAGTGAAATTCCTAAAGTTGATCGCAGCAGCTTCCAAAACAACTTACGACATATTCCTAGGAAAAAGCCCAGCTTCATGATGCTGATCTGGTTTTCATCCCCCACTCACCAGGGTTTAAAATATAAAACATGCCCTGCAGGAGAAGGCAGCAGGTTCCCTGAGGTTATTACACCATGCAAAACAGACTGTAATTGAACTGACAGCTTAGCACGCTCTCAAGCTCTATGCCAGGAGATAACTTACTTGTGATGAGTTCCATGTGGAAGTACACTGTGCTGCAATGGGTCACTGGCAGGGACCCTGGACAAGATCCATCACCACCCCTGTCACTGTCCTCTTTCACTGAGGGCAGAGATAAGCCCAAAACTGTGTTTCTGTCCAGTGGAGACCTAATACTCAGTACTTACAACCTCACTGGGGCATCAAGGGATGGCTTTTAGGGAAACAGAAGCTGTCTAAGAAGAGTGATCCCACTGCCAGCTCTGCTTGTACCAAAGCCTGGAAAGCCCAGTCCCTTACTCTTGCCATCAGAGGAGAGGCATTTGGCTGCAGTACAAGCAGCCTTGGATGACCTCCAGCTGCTTCCACAGCTTCAAAACTCATTACAAAAATTTGTACATGGCAGTGATAAGCACTGAAACTCCTGGATTTGAATGTATGCCAAAAATGTAATGGAAAGCTCACCTGGAGAGTAAGAGTCACCTCTCATCCCATAACAAACCTTCCTGGCTCTTCAAAGCCTTTGGATTATGCATGGAGCTTGAATAGGAAACCCCCATTCATGTGTGTTGCCCTCGGGGTCAACCTTTAGAATTGCAGTTAATTCACCCCATTTGGCAGGTTTTTGCTGGCCTGTTTCTGTCAGTGGCTGCTAAATCCTGTAGCCTGAACACAGGGGAGGGTAATAACTTTAAAGAGCAAAGGGTTAGATATGATGAGAGGGAGAGCTGGGGCTATCACAGAGTCTTTCAGGCCAGTTTCAAGTCAAACTGAAACAACAAGTGTTTAAACACTCTTCACTTTGTCCAAAAAAAAAAACACCTCACTCCAACCAGTCACTTCAGTGCAGCCAAAAGGATAGGCCTCTCCAAAGTTGAAAACATTGGCAGGTGGGAGGCCAGATCAAAACTCAGGAAGGAGAAGCATGGTTCCTCCTTGAAGCCTATGGGAGAGCTGAAGAAACTTGGGGAATGCTGTTGCCCTGTGCCCACATTGCACAGTTGCACAGCTAGAGCATGGTCTCTGAGATGACATTAAAGAGTACTTTCTTTTGGGTTGTCTCAGCTGGAATGCTCCTTAAACCCTTACTTCTTCCCCCCTTCCCCCCCCCATGCCCCCCAATATATTCTCATGCAGAACTTCTAGAGGGATGTGTAACCTCATCTTGTACCTTTCCACTGCATCCTTCATCCTGACCTTGTTCCTGTTCTTCTTTCACAGCATGTAGTCCTGCCCGAAGACGAGCCAAAAGTACGCAGCACATCCTAACAAAGAGCGTAAGAAAAACCTCCCTTTCTCTCCCTCTCTTTTTTTCCATTCTAGTTGAATACACTTACTCTTAAAAATGCCATGGATAAATGGGAAGCACATCTTCCAGGGCAAAGTGTATCAGTGTCTGATGCAGGGAGTGGGGTGAGAAACAGAAAGGGGAGTTTCTGTAAAGCTATAGTTAATTTACAGAAGCACTTTGAAACTTCAAAAACTATGGTCTTGCTATGCATAGCCAGTCAAAATGAGCACAGCAGCTTATCTGAGGGAATCACAGACTTAATTCTTATCCATAAAGCCTTAATGATAACACCAGAGGGACAGCCAGGGATGAAAAGCAAACAAGTTGTATCACTACCTGTATGCATTAACCAAGGAGCCAGTATCCCATTCCCTGAGGAATGTGGGAGAAAAACACCAAGCAATGAACTGTAACCTCAACTCAAAGAGATGGCTCTGAGAGAGCCACAGGAGGATGCTTGTCCCTTGATCCCGAGGTGCTTCCTGCCCTCGACTCACCTCCTGTGCACTGGCACAGAGTACACAGCTGGAGCTTTACCTGCTCCCTGCAGGTGGTGCTTTCCAAGTCTGGGCACTTTGACACATGGGGCTGAGTTTTCCTGTCTTTAGAGCTAGTTTTCCCTCCTTCAATCCACTTGAATCATTCACAACCCCTACCATGGTTCTCTCATCGCAGTTCTGATTTACAGGAATGACTGCCTGTTTCTCTTGTGCATATCACAGCACTTTTAACAAGCTTTGAGACTCTTCTGCTGAAGCATTTCTTCTCACTACAGACCTGTCTCTTCACTAGCACTGTCAAAATATTTTGCTCCGTGGCCTTCTCTTTTTCCATGCCCTATCCCACTTTGAAGCCCCATCCTTATTTGTAAATAGCCTCTTCTTCATATTCATGATTCCCCGATCTCCTCACAACACTGTGGGTCCCCCCTTGTCGTTATTTAAGCCCAGCTCAGAGCCACACAGCTGCTCACTCACTTCCCACTCCTCTTCCCCCTCTCCCAGAGGGATGGGGAGGAGAATCGAAAGAATGTAACTCCCACGGGTTGAGATAAGAACAGTTTAGTAACTAAGGTATAACACAGATCACTACTGCTACCACCAATAATAATAATGATAACGGAAATAACAAGGGAAGAGAATACAGCCGCTCTCCATCTGCTGACCGATACCCAGCCCGACCTGAGCAGTGATCTAACTGTTCCGGATAACTGCCCCCAGTTTATATAGTGGGCATGACATGCTGTGGTTTGGAATACCCCTTTGGCTAGTTTGGGTCAGGTGTCCTGTCTCTGCTTCCTCCCAGCTTCCCCTCCGCCCTGGCAGAGCATGAGACTCAGAAAGTCCTTGGTCAGAGTAAACATTACTGAGCAGCAACTAAAAATATCGATGTTACCAGTGCTGTTCCCAGGCTGCCAGTCAAAAACACAGCACTGCACCAGCTACTAAGACAGAGAAAAATGACTGCTACTGCTGAACCCAGGACACCCCTACTTACCACACTTACCTGCAGCTGGAAAAAAACTTACCACTCACAATCCCATCCCCTCACTTGGTTATTATGGCGGACCACAGGATCCCAGTACTTCACAGGATGCCTGAAGCGGTACCCAGGAAGGGTCAGTAATGTGTCTGTCATGTCTGGGTAGAAACTCTGTATGTGTGTATTTTCTCAATTTGTGAAAATCTCATTTTTGTCCTATAACTCAGGCTCAGGTTTCAAAATGACCTTTCATTCCAAAGGAGGATGAAAGTCAGGGTGCTGGAGTCTTACTCAAAATAAGCCATTTTGGGATACCCCTTTTTTATTTGTTACGTCTTTGGTATATTTTGTTTTCTATGTTTACAAAACAGCATATGTTTATATTCATATGTTCTATGTTTACAAAAACAGCATCAAAGTCCAATCTAAAAGTTAACTGTTCTGATTTAATGGAACAGAATGCTCAGATAATTTATCTTTCTTTTTTTTTGACAAAATTTATACTTTACAACAAAGTGACCAGATTTCTAACAAGAATTTCTCATAAAACTATTCAGCTGGAAAATTTTCAGCTAGTTCTCATTGAAATATATGGCACCTGTATGTCAAAGTTCCAGAACTCAGCAGATAGGGAGTTGTATTTGCTAAATGGGAACCTCTGATATTTAACTTGGATTCGATCAGCTGCTGTAACAGTACAGTACTTACAAAGGTCTAAGAAAGTAAGATAAGAAAGTCCCTGTTTTGTTGCTGTATTTTTAGAGGGTTTTTTTTTTCCCTTTGGGGCTTTCCTGACCCCAATTAAAGATGTCCTTTGATTGGCCTTTAGCCATGATGCAGGCAGCATCATTAGCAGTGGGAGCATCAAGCCTGAGGAATAGTCTGCAGCTCCAGTTGAGAAAAGAAGCAAGGCTCTCAAACCAGAGCAGCTGGCACAGTCAGCTCTTTGTGCATTCCCCTTCTTCAGTATATGATGCAGCTGCTTGCAGCTCCTGCACAAGCGTTCAAACACATTGCCTGTACTGGAATACACATGCCTGTGAGGAAGTTGTGATTGCCAATTTTTAGACTCACAGAAAAGTAGCAGAATGATTGTTTGGTTTTCACTTTTACATCTGCGCCTGCAGTCAGTGCTGTGGAAATGCTCCCAGCTAATGTGAAATCTCCTGGTCTGGTGATTGCAGTGGATGCACAACTTTAATCCTTAGCAAGGGCAAAAATAGCAAGCAAGGTGGACATCTGCCAGACCTATTTTTTGCTGCAGAAATACTCAAGCAGTGCAGCATTAAGTGATTTAACAGTCAAATGACTGACCTTTGGGGGTAACTTTCATCACATTCAAGAACCCATCCCAAAAGCACAGTCAGGAGTATGGAAGGATGAGAGAGAGGGGAAACATCTTTTTTTTCACTAGAGTGTTTCACCAATACACTTATTTGCAGTTCCTATTGCCCTATTAGGAGTTATTTCAAGTGATAGTAGATCCTTCTCTTCTCTTCTCTTGCTCTTCTAGCCCCAAAATTCTTCAGGTGGAACTGTCTGGATGTCAGTACCTGGCTACTTTGCATAAAAATGTCAAATCCCTCTGTGCATGCTACTGCTGCCACATTAAAAATGAGATCACCATTAGACTATCAAAAAAGGCTTAACTCTGCAAAGCCCCTTGTTGTTCAGCCTTTCAGCTTCAAAGCTTTATTATAAGCCAGATGTTTAATTGTCACCTTTTCTGGTTGGTTGTTGGTTTGGCAGCGTGATTTTGGGTCTAGGAGCAGCATTGTTGGAACAGCCTCTGCTCTGCTCTGCAACCTTCCTGTGTCATCTGTGCTCCCTGCTTAACATAGCTAATTCTGACAGCAGGTATGCCAGGCCTGAATGCTCTCACATGTATGTAAAGTCCACAAAAGATACTTTGGTAAGCTCTGAATTCAGAGTTGGTGTCCTGCAAACAAACTGAGCAGGTCAAGGGACATACAGGTTCTTAAACCAGTAGCTCTTTAGAGAGCAGTACACTAATTCTGCATAGTTTGGTTGGCTCTGCCATTCACACAGGTTTTAATTCTCTGGTATGTCTAGAAAAGAAAAGTGACTTGCAGCTAATCCTTCTGCCTTACCCTAGGCACCCTAGAGAAATGTCAGCTCCAGTTTAGATCAAAACTGTGCTACAGCAGGTTTAGTTTCCTGACCTAGATAAGTCTTCACATATTACAGTAATGGGTGAGGTAGCCAAAGTCACGGTGAAATCTTGAATTAGGAGATAAGGAACACTAAAATGTGCTACAGCCAAATGCTGCAAACTAAGATGTTCATGAAAGATATGCTATAGAGATTGTGCTGTTGTCTCCAGCTGTAATGGAAAATGGCACTGTAGCTTATGTATAAAGATTCTGCTTTTTAGCATTTTGGTATTACTGACATGACATCTAAAAAGGAATCTTGGAAACATAGAAAATAATAGAATCATAGAATAGTTAGGGTTGGAAAGGACCTTAAGATCATCAAGTTCCAACCCCCCTGCCATGGGCAGGGACACCTCACACTAAACCATATCACCCAAGGCCTCGTCGAACCTGGTACTGAACACTGCCAGGGATGGAGCATTCACAACCTCCCTGGGCAACCCATTCCAGTGCCTCACCACCCTAACAGGAAAGAATTTCCCCCTTATAGCCGATCTAAACTTCCCCTGTTTAAGTTTTTACCCGTTACCCCTTGTCCTATCACTACAGTCCCTAATGAAGAGTCCCTCCCCAGCATCCCTAGAGGCCCCCTTCAGATACTGGAAGGCTGCTATGAGGTCTCCAGGCAGTCTTTTCTTCTCCAGGCTGAACAGCCCCAACTTTCTCAGTCTATCTTCATACAGGAGGTGCTCCAGTCCCCTGATCATCCTCGTGGCCCTTCTCTGGACTTGTTCCAAGAGTTCCATGTCCTTTTTACGTTGAGGACACCAGAACTGCACACAATACTCCAAGTGAGGTCTCACAAGAGCAGAGTAAAGGGGCAGAATCACCTTCTTCGACCTGCTGGTCACGCTCCTTTTGATGCAGTAATGTGCCTAAGTAATTCCTGTTATTAATGCAGTTAAAAATCCTGCTTCCTTTTCCCAAAGACTTTAATCTTCTTGAGAAAACTGTTTCTGAATCATCCTGGGTAACAGTCCTGATGGATCCACTTGCTCTTGGAGCCTGTTCCTGTTTTTTTTAACTCACATTAGCCTGTGGCAGCACAGTGAGTGCCATGGCTTACTCATGCTCGAAGTAGAAAAGAACTTACTGTTGTTCACATTTGTTTTCAGGGCTCTGTTCAAGATACAGGGGGGTAGTGTTCAAAGATGCAGCTCTCAGTGAGTTTTGTTTGTGCAAGCTAATGTCTGTGAACATTAACCCCTGGGAGCACAATTATTCATTGCCTTGTACCCTCTGTAATCATTACCAGGTATAAAATGTAAGTAAGTCTAAAAGATGGGAAAGGCCATGAAAAAAATAACATTTGTAGTTCACATTTAACTGATTGCCCAAGACATGATGCAATAAGAAATTCAATTTGAGCTGTCTCAAAGGCATATTGATCTTGAAAAGAACCACATTTCTCCTGAGGAGAATACAGAGAGCTGCATCAAAGTAGTGGGTTCCAGAGAGACCCCATGTGGCTTTCCCATACTCTTATATATCTCGTGCACAGAGGCAGGAGCCAAACAAAACAAACACCACAAATCCCACCCAACAAATCCCTTCAGATGATGGGAAAGCAGTGGGAAGAGCAAACACTATACTGCTCCCCGTCTCCAAGGCCATGTATAACAGGATGGCTTTTCCTTTCGCTGTAGGTGGTAGCCATATCCAACCACCGGCCCCACAGGACCGAGAAGCTGCATCCTCACCAGGGTGACCTCCTCCAGGTGCTGTACAACGGAGAAGAGGTGCAGGGCTTGGGCTGCCTGCAGAGCCAGCAGCGGGGACCCTGCCCTGCCAAGGGTGCTGCCCAGCACGGTGAGTGTGCACAATGGCTTTATTCCTCTGCGGTTTATGAACATTGTTAGATACTGCAGTCTGCCAGTTTGCAGGCAATTTGTTATGGATCTGAAGGATACTTTCATGCTTAAAATGTCCAGTGGAATTAATGAGAAAACAGCCATGGCATTGCGTAGCTCTTGCTTTATTCAGAGTCATAAACTCGCTTTATTCAGAGTCAAATTCACTTTATTCAGAGTCATAAACTCACTTTATTCGGAGCTATGAGCGCTCCCTTTCCAAAGGGTGATGATATTTTAGGCATGATATTTTGTGAATTACTGAGTTTGCCTGAGTCATCTTATTATATAAGATCCCTGTTCAGTTGCTTGGAACTTGCCAGAACACAATTTGGGATGAAATTTTAGATTCTGTATGTTGGCCACAGACTTGATTTTGGTTTTCCAGACAAAACTTGTTCAACATATTTGTGAGAACTAGTGAAGGGGAAAGAGAGGTTTCCAAAGCAAAACCAAGGAAATGAGTAAACATAAACAGACTGGTCATTCAGCTCCTTCATCGCTGACGTTTGGAAGGTTGAAGCTGGAGCAGGGCCATGCAGTTTGCAAGGGGTGGCCTTTTAATCAAAAACTCATCTTCTGCTCTCCCTTGAAAAACAACCCAGATGCAGTCAAGTCATAATCCTTTGAAAAAATCTGGTATGGCACGTGTTTGGTGGAGATATTGGACATTTAGCTGTGCAAAGGTGCTAAATCTGTGAAGCAGATACTACCATGAAGGTGCATGTTCTTCACACCCCCAGTCTGCAGCTGCACTGCGCATTAGCCATGCCATTAGGAGCACAGAGCAGACAAGAGTGGGGCCTGGGAAACTGGGAAGGAAGAAACTGACCTTGGGAAGATAGGGAGAGATCTCAAACCAGGACCAGAGCCAAGCTATGGCTGAACAAAGAACTGGGGCTTCAGGGCTGGAGCAGAGAGAGGAGGAGGAGTTTCTGGAACCAGCTGCAGGGCAAAGGATGGCAGAGAGCCAGTGGGGAGAAAGAAGGGAGGACTGCTGGTCTCTGCTGTAAAGGGTGACAGAGAGGTGTGAGCAGGAGAAAAGATGGAGGAATCCAGAAAGAAGAGCAGAAAATGAAGAAACAGTTCTCATAGGGGTGAAAAGGAAGTGAGTGGGCAAAGAAACTGGGATGCTGTATAGGAAAGAGTGAGAAACTGGGTTTAAGTTAAAACAAAAGAGAGACAAAATGGACTGGCTGAGGAGTGAAAGGAGGGAACGAGAAGAGCAGGACAAGGCAAACTCACCAGGATCATCTGGACAAGACACAAGAGCTCCTGCAGGGCTGCCTAAGCTTGTGCAGCATGGCAAGGCTGTTTGTCAGATCTCTGTTCCCCCCAGTACAGGGGATGCTCAGGGACCATGGCAAGACACCTCCTGCAACAGCCCCCTAAGTTCTGTCCGTCACTGCCACCAGACTCCTCAGCGATGCTCATCACCTCACAGAGCCGATGCATTCCCCTTTTCTGGGTGCCTGCTTCACACCTCTGGCTGTGACACTGGGGAACGCTCAGTTGCTGATGCACTAAAATTTGCTTTGGCTCTGAGCAGTGCTGTGTCCTGCTCAAGTCTCTGAAAAACTGGATCCCAAGACCTTCTAATCTTGTACTCAGCACCCACCTCTGCTTTCCTGATGTGACTCCTTGTCCCCCAGGAGGTGATGAAGCTGTTTTTTAAAAACATCCATGCAGATGTTGACCACGGTGATCAGCAACACAGAGGAGCCTGTGAAAATATTAACAGTTCTTCCCTCAGAGGATTCAGTGGGGGGGAAAGCAAGCACAGGACTGTGCACTGATCAGCTGCTTTCTGAGTGAACACTGTCTATGTGAGTGAAACAGAAAGTCTATGGAAAAACGGTTGCTGATCACAAATTAGAGAATGAATCTCAGTGTCTAGGTCGTTTGGGGGATAAAATCACTTTGATCCAGTCCTGGTGTTCCATAACTTTTGAGTGACAGATTTGGCATTTTAAGGGAAGGAAGGTAGAAGTGTTGGTGAATCTTTGTATGACCAAATAGTTCTTTGTTATGATGTGCTGCAGTGTCCTGTTTCTGTACTAACTGTACTAATAACACCTACACAGAGAATAGGGTACCATGAGAGAGTCCAGAAAGGTTTCTCCAACTGTTTCTCAACAGCTGGAAAGCCAGCATTATGTGATACAAAGTGAGATAAACATATGGATATGTATCATCTCTCTACAAATGTTGCCTCCATGTAAATTTTACCCTTCAAAAATGTCCTTCAGCTTTCTTACTGGAAATAGTTGTGTCTATAGAGTTTCCATGTTTGCTCCATAAATAAGTACTGCTGAATATGAAAGGGACTTCAGATTTGGTAAAGCACAAGTTGAAATCTGAACAATTCAATTTCCAGAGTAAGGGGAAAATGTGTAAACAAGAGCACAGTTAAGACCATCAGCACATGTATTGCCAGCATCAGAAACCCTACACAAGTATCAAAGCATCATAGAATGGCTTGGGTTGGAAGGGACCTTAAAGATCATCTAGTTCCAACTCCTGCCATGGGCAGGGACATCTTTGACTAGACCAGGTCACTCAAAGCCCCATCCAACCTGGCTGTGAAGGAAGCAAGTGTAGCAGGAGGCCACAAGAAGAAACTGATTGCATTGAAAGCTGTGCTTTGTTACACAGGATGGATAGCTGAAAACAAACCAAAACAAAAATCACACTTCTCCAGGACAGAAATACTCAGCTTTGTACCAAGTTCTTGTATAAGCACTCATCTTGGAAACATAGGGCAAGTCAGAACAACTGATGAGAAGCAACCCTTGTCCAGGCTTGGGCATTCGTAGCACCTTCTGGAAGCAGAATTCACACCACACTCCACCACCGCTATCCTGAGGGGACCACTTATAAGGCTGAAGCCACAAGGACCTACATTTGTTTGGATATTCTGCTACAAGTTTGCTAGAACATGTTCAGTATCTGTCAAGCAGAGGCGCAGCTGAAGGGAAAAATCAGGCAATACAAGGGCAAACAAAACAAAACCGAATCAAATAAGAAAGGGGGAAAAAGGATATGGACATCAGTGGCTGGACAGGCTCCAAGCACTAATGCCTGGAGCCACTTGCTGAATACTGTTAGTACCTAATATGCAAGATGACAAGAGGTAATAGAATTAAACTTTGACATGAGGGATACAGCTAAGTATCTAATGGAATTACTGGCAGGGGCAGGGAGCAGGAAGAGAGAGGCTGGTGAAAATATTTCTTACAGTCAAATATTGCCCCCAGAAGGAGAAGTACTGATCACTATCTCATGCCAGAGGCAGCACTATAAGCAGTGCCATGGCTATTTCTGATGTTTGCTCTCATTATATATATTCCATTGGTTACACCGGTTGTAAATCATATTCTTGAAGACTTGATGAATCTTGGTGTTTCTGTAGATACTTCTCTTGCTCTTCACTTACCTGAATATCCTTTAAGGAACAGCAGACACCAAAAGCAGCCAGGAACAGAAATAAATAAATAAATATATAAATAAGGTACCTCCACGATCTGACATCCAAACAGGAGGATTTGGCTCCATGAAAAATCTGGCATCCCTCCCTCGTTTATTTCCTCAGCACAACTAGCAGGAATGTCAGGAGATGATCATAATAAAGAAACTTCCGCACTTTTGGCTATAATCAAGTCTGGTTGGAGTCTAACCTGAATCTAGGCTCTGTTCATGGAAGGAGGCTTTTAATACAAGCTGTGCCAATGGGATAATTACCAATAATGCCACATTTCTTACCCTTTGCAGTGGGAATTACTGAACGAGAATCATCCAAGTCCTGTAATCACCCATTGGATGGAAAATCTTTGGTAAGTAAATACAGCAAGACCAATTACCACTGTCTGATGCATCTTAAAACCTGTCAACGTGTCCCACATTAATCATGTGCAGCATGTCAGTCTCTTGTAGCATGTGCAGATTTTGCAGTCTTTGTTAAGGCCTTGAGACATGATTTATGCCAGAGGAACCTTAGCTAGGAGAGGAGACTGGCACAGGACAGCTCCCCTCAAGGAAGGGTGGTGGGATGGAAACAGGTAGGCTCAGCCACCCGCAAGACCTGGGAGGAATTATCCTCTTGTTTCTCAGGGAATTTCACATATTGGGGAAAATAAATCATTTTAAAGTGGAACAAGCATCAAATAATTATATTCTTAGAATGCCAGCTGGACATGGTAATCAGATAAATGGAAATGCTGATGAAGAATTAATGGGAAAATAATCAAACAAAACCCAAAAATTTGTTCTGTATTGGAAAGACAAAATGCTTTGGTTAAAAATGACTCAGCTTTATTGAAACATTTTCCTTCCCTTCTTTTTCTTAAAAAAAAAAAAAAAAAAAAACCAAAAAACCCTCTACATTTTACAAAAACTAGATTTTCAAACAGAAAATAGTCCTTTAAAAAGTTTCTGGAAAACACCAGACCATGCTATAGAAACCTGATGGCTTCAAATGCTCTTCTGGATGGCTGCAATATACTTGCTAGCTGGTAGCTGGGGTACACTCAATAAACATTACTGTACAATGTTGAAGGATGGTCACAATTAATAATATTCTGTGTAATGAAAGTAATTGCACTTACCAAAAATTAACCCAGTTAAATTTCAAAGCATGCTTTCAAAAGTGATTTCAAACATTTCTGTAAGTCTTGAGATGCTTGCAGAGCTCACCAAAACATATCCAGTCTCAGATTAATCCCAGGGGAAATAGCCGTAGACAACTGTCATGGTTTAAACCCAGTCAGGCAACTTGTTCACTCACTCCCAGTGAGTGGTGCCGGGCTGACAACAATCGAGGGCACCCCCCACCCCCCCCCACCCCCCGGGGCTCTCCCCTTCCCCTCTCCCTGAGGAACGGGGAGGAGGATCGAAAGAGTGCAACTCCCACAGGTTGAGACAAGAGCAGTCCAGCAACCAATGTACAACACAAATCACCACCGCTACCACCAACGACAGCAATGATAAGGGAAAATAACAAGGGAAGAGAATACGATACCACCAGCCAAGAAACGAGTCCCACCCGGAAGCCCCTGTCCTTCCGGGTAACTCCCAGTTACCCCCCACCCCGGCCATGACATGCTGTGGTATGGAATACCTCTCTGGTTAGCCTGGGTCAGGTGTCCTGTCTCTGCTTCCTCCCGGCTTCCCCTCCTCCCTGGCAGAGCATGAGCCTCACAAAGTCCTTGGTCAGGGTAAACATCACTTAGCAACAACTGAAAACATCGGCTTCACCAACACTGTTCCCAGGCTGGAAGTCAAAACATAGCACTGCACCAGCTGCCACAAAGGAGAAACATGACTGCTACTGCTGAACCAGGACAACAACATAAGACCAATTATACTAGTGGCAATAATATAAAAATGGTTTTCAGTATTGACAGTAAAATCAGTGTGGTTATTGCCTGAAATGATGAGAGTGCATCACAATTTCTGGCAACCCATACTTTAGCTTGCCATCTTGGAGGCTATGCCAGTCTCATGGTCAAATGGTCAAATGAGACAAGAGGAAGGCAATGATCAGGCACTTGTGTGGCTATGGCAGAACTGGGCAGGAACCAGGGACCCTCATGCCACTGAGCAGCACTCAGAAGAACAGGGAAACATTTCTAAACACCCAAGGGAACAGTGATGTCTGGGACAGCTGGTCCCCAGGCAGCCACAGAGGTGGCCTGTGGAGAGCTGCAAGAGGTGGGCTGCCCGGCCTACTCAAAGCCTTGACTCTTCAGGAAGCTAGGCATGAAACCTAAGGACTAGAAAGTTCTGCAAGCCTCCCTCCTTCGATGGGAGGTGTAATTCTTGCTCATACAAGCCCTGTGTTGAGTTTAGCAAGAACATTCATGTGAGTCATCTGTACTTGTGTGGTAAGAGTTGGGCAGTCAAATCCTTAACCTGCTTTCTCTTTGTAGGAGATCCACAGTATTTATTGATTTTCCTAAAACCGCCTCTTTCCTCAGACAAACCTGTGCTCCCTGCTTACCAGTAGCACTTCCTAATGATGTGCTTTTTTCTCCTGCAGATTCCACCATCTCCAGTTGCCCACATCACTGTGAAAGCGGTGGCTGTCACAGATTCACCCACAGGCAACAGCACTTCCATGGAAGAGTAAGTCCTTTCCCACCCTCTAGCCAAGCCTGGGGAGCTGCACGAGGTGTGATGCCAGGCAGGGAAGGGGATGGGGCACCTCTGCCACAGGTCACCTGCTCACCAGAAACACAGAGAGGTGCTCATCTGCAGATCTGTGAATCAGAGCCGTAAAACCTCAGTGATTTACAGTAAAGCCATGCTGCTTACTTCCCAAAAGTAGGGAGAGATTAGCTAAAGGACATGATTATTATATTGTCAGCCACAGCCATTTTTACAGCTGCCCCGGTGCCAGTTACAGCTCTGTTTTATTACTAGGAAAAAAAATCTGAATTCAAATTTTAAGTATTTTCCCCCTAAGAAGTCTATAATATTTGCCCTGAAGCAGCTTAAAAAATTTAATCGATTTTTAAATGAAGTACAATTAAGGAACATGTTATCCCTAGTACAAATGCACTCATCACTAGGCAGTTAACCCAGACACACATCAGGGTGATACTTGAGATCCCGCCATTGCCATCTGAGGGAGAGTAACAAGCTCTTTGTCATAGTGTCCTCATACTCCACACACAGAGACATAAATACCCCTCAGCCAGTGTAAGCCAGTTCAGCCCCCTCAGGTTTTCCATGCCTGGTTGCCGTAAGCCAGGAAGAAGGGCCATGGAAACAAATGCTTTACGTGTCTGTGCTTTATTTGCTAGTCACCGGCAGCACTGGAGGAAGGCAGCAGAGTACGACCTGACCCTGCCCGCAGGAGCAGAAGCTTCCCTACCACTGACAGGAGGCAACCTGTGTGGGACACCCAGCCTCCTGAGGAAGATGTGGATGAAGCACAAGAAGAAGTCAGAGTACCTAGGGGCAACAAACAGTGCCTTTGAGGCAGACTGACAAGGCTCAGCATCACTTGGAAGGACGGACGGTCCTTTAGCCAAGGACAAGGTGCTCTAAGATCAATGAAGGAACAGACATAGCACAACTCATCCAGAAAAACTATATCCTTTTTATTACTTGATGATATTGCCTCTGAACAGTGGGATGAAGTCCAGCTAAGGTAAAAATTGATGAACGTGATTCAACTCACTGGCCTTTCTTTGTTGCAATATACTAAAATCACAAATATCCCACTAGATTTACATCTTGACTCAATGACGCTGAAACTACTCCCGGCCCATTTACCATTTTACGTGTCCTGTCTGAATCAGCTTGGACTTGCAACAGGACAAGCCTACCAATAGGTTTGTGTATTCCTGCAAGGCAACATATTGATTACAGAGTGCCATTGAATACCCTCAGTCTGCTCGCTGTGTAGCACTTCTTGTCCTCTCCCCCCTCTCATATCACGAGGTAAAACCCACATCTTATGATATGCTTGGTTGAATGACATACACTGAACGTATTTCTTTTTTCTACAGTGTTGATGTTTTAAGACAGGAGTAAAAGATGCAAAAATTGTAACAGAAAGTGTCAGAACGCAGCAAGTTTGCAAACACACATTTACCAAACTTTGCTATGTGACAGGTGATTGGTGGGTGTTTCAAAGTGTCCTGACAGATCAAACTGTGAGCCACTCGATAACCTCGAGATACTTTCTTCCACAGAACCTGCTTACATGTTAAGTGGTAGTCAGAAATTTACCTATGTGGTACAGGAATTTCACTAAGTGTGCAACATACTAGGAGGAGAAAGAAAATATGCAAATGGTGCAACTAGGTGACTAAAAGTGAGATATTTGCATATAGAAGACCAGTGCTTATGGACAGGTGGAATTCATGGAATTTGCTGTAAAATCTTTCTCGACTTCTTTTTTTTCAATTTAGGAATTGCAGGTCATGGCCCATTGGGATTTTCTCTCACAACAAAAAAAGTTTTACAGAAAAGATTTCACTGTCATTACGGACAATATTTTACCAGTCATGAACAGTACTTGCCTCGCCTGAGTACTCCTCTCATTATTAAGGGAGGCTGTGGCTTGCCTAAATACAGACTTTAAATATAAAACTGAAGGAGGCATTTCTCCTGTTGCTCACGATAACGATGATCTTCTGTAATCTAACTGCCAGTACACCAAAGCGTAAATGAAAAATGAAAAAAGTCTTACTCTATAACAGAAGCACAGGAGGAAAGCTTCCATCTGAAACTTGCTTGCCTGCAGCCAACATAGTAAAATGGTTTGGAAGGGACCTTAAAGGTCATCCAGTTCCAACCGGGCTGCCATGAACAGGGACAGCTTCCACTACACCAGGTTGCTCCAAGCCCCATCCAACCTGGCCTTGAACACTGCCAGGGATGGGGAAGCCACAGCTTCTCTGGGAAACCTGTGCCAGTGCCTCACCACCCGCACAGTCACAGTCTTCTCCCTCAGACATGCTCAAACAGCTCACAGAGGACAGCCTTGCAGCTAGAAATCCCAGTCTCTCCCCTCCTGCTTACCAAAGGCAGACATCCTTCTCTGGCGCAGCAGCTTGACAGAGGGATGATCTGCTCTCCTGCTTTTCTTTCATCCTTCTGGGAAAGGAGAGCACAGCTCCTTGTTACCCACATGCTAAAAGCCCCCAGCTGCTGGCAAGGCAGGGAGAAGAGGCAATGGTGACCCTGCATTGACCATGTCAGCATGCAAGAGCAGTGCTGACTCCTGCTGAAGGCTGCACACATGAACATCACCAGAGCAGTTTTCTCCCAGGGGTACACCCCACCTTTAAATAAGAGCCTGACACACTGGCCCTGGGTAGTACAGACACCGTGGCCTTGCCAACATCAGGTCCTTCATGACTGAATCAAACCGGAGCCGTGGCCAAGACTTCCCTGAAATGTCTATTATAAATCTCACCAACCACACCACACCCCCTCCCCAGCCCCAAAAAATTCTGCCAGAAGCCTTGGCCTTTAGGCTCATGCTATTTTTATGCGTATCAATAAACCCAGTAAATTCAGTGGGACTACTTCCTTGCACAACAACGCATGCACACGAGGAGTAGGGAGAACAGTAATTGCCAGTTCCTTTTTTTGGTCTCATTACCTAAACAAATGAAAAATAAATAAGACAGGCAGACATTGGGACAAGTCTATTTGCTGAATTGGGGGTAATTAAGAAAGTGAGTATTTGCGCTACCTGCCCTTATAGCTAATGTGACCTATAGAGCACCCTAACACACAGTCCAGGGCAGCAAGAGTTTTGTCTGTTGAGAAAGCTGTATCGTAGTATTTCATTTGTTAATTACTAGTTTTAAGCAGTAGGAGGATGGAGGCAAAGAGGAGATGATTCATGTTTCTACCTAATAATTGCTGTATCTTGAAATGTGTATTTATGGTTTTCTTATTTATTTAATTTATACTTTGGATCTACAAGAGGAGAGATTTACATGAAGCATATTTAATTTCTCTGTATTTGAGGAACTGCTGTGGAGATTTCTTGTACTGTAGTAGATACTTGTTTTATTGATTTGACTAAAATATGGCCTATTCATAAAAAAAAAAATTAATAAAAGAAACAAGTAGCATGTGATAACATACGGGTCTTGGTGTTTAAAGGTTTTGGGAAGCATTTAGTGGAAATTAAAGGGCAGGTTTATGGTACTGAAGAATGTGAACACCTTATAGCAAAGAAACCAAATTTTGCTCCCCACAGAAAAGCCTGGAAATGTAGGTTTGTGTGTGGCTTCAATATTTTACGTGCGGTGGAATATTATTATCAGATACTCAGAGAAAAGGCCCAGTACTGCCAAGCAGTTAGACATCAGATACACATCTACACACAAGGCTTCAAGTGGGCACAACATTTAGTCTCCCTCTGGCCCTGGGAGATAAGCAGTATCACCACCCTCCCATCAAATAAGAGAACCAAGACAGAGGGGGTAGTTAGGGCCCTAGTAGAGAATAAAACCAAGCGCTGCCCATCTTCAGACCCACCAGTTGGCAACAAAGTCACTTGTCTCCAACACAACACCATCTTTGGAGATCCTATGCTGAATGACAGCCCAAGCCGAGGTAGGTGACACAGGGACACAGGAGCCCAAGCTTGGGGAACTGGCTCAGGAATGCAAGGGTAAAGACTTTAAGACACAAGGGAAGAAAATGTATGGTGTTGGCATCCCTCACCAACCCAGCCCTTGAAAAGCCTGTCTGCTAAGAATGACTTGTCCCTGCTGCACTGCCTGTACCTCGAGCAGCTCCTCTGCCATGTTTCTGGTCCTGCCATTGCAGACAGTGTCTACATTTAACATGAGCAAACAGGGAGTGTCCTCGCAGTGAATGTCTCCACCACAAGGCTTAGCACAGATTTTTCCAGGGTGTGGGGTAACCACCTGGCCAATGCTGGGCACCCCTCTGCAAATACCCAACATTTAGTCATGCATTAAAAATACCAGCATGAGTATGGAGGAGGATGCGGATACCCAATACATTTTCCAGATGAAACTGTACAGAAAGCAATGTTGGATTGACTCCAACACACCGTCAAAAAAATGTGAAATGGTGATTAACAAAATTAGTGAATGTACCATTTTCCATCAAAGACAGAAAAATTGTTAACTGTGCGGCTGAAAGCATCGCCTCTGGCACTGCCTGGCACATGGGTGTTGTCGTAATTGATAACATCTGTGAGAACATGCACTCTTCAGACTTATTTAATGCCATTTCATAACTTTGGGTTCTCCGGAACTGAAGACTAACTGAGGCACTGACCTGACTGCAAAGCACTGCATTATGACAGCCCATCACACATACAGTCATTTGTATATTTCATTTCCAAAAAAGGGGTTCCAATTTCCTCTCACCCTTTCAAAAACATCTTTGCGATAGAGCTGCTCACTAAAATATCCATCATTACTTTGCATACCACTTATTTAAATAAACTGTAGTGATTTAAAGCTAGGCTACTATTTAAAGTAATTCCTACTGGTGCATGAACAAAAAAATCTCAGATACGCTTCGCCTGCCTTTTTTCCCCTTTTGCACTCACTTTACAGATCCTGCAGCAAACAGGTTTGCCAGAAGAGCTGATCAAGGACACGTCAATGTTCGGGGGAACACCATACACTTTTCACAGTAAGTATTTTTAGCACAACCATTGGCATCTGCAGAATAATTTCACACCTGAGTTTCCCTGCCGGAAAAGTTGCAATATCAGGACTTGCACAGACAAACCAAACTGAACCAAGTCAGATTTCTCAGATGAAGCCTCTTCTCGGAAAGTCCAATGCACACCCTACAAACAATGCAGATGTCAAATAGCCATAAATATCTTATGAGATTTTGAAAATCTCAGCATTAACACCATAGGTTGTTCACGAGTGAGCAGCTCAACCCTACATGGTATTGAAAACCTTGAATTTTTTAAGTGGCAGAACTATTATTTAAGTGGACTGACACAAAGATCAGTAAAATAAGTCCTGAATTGTTTAGAAGGAAAAAAGAGAGTTGAATATTCAATGAAGTTAGGCGAAGGCTCAGAAAAAACGAGCAGCTGAACTCACAGGGGTGCAATTCAGGATGAAATGGAAGCACATGTGAATGTTGTCCTTCTCCTCAGCCACCAGGTTGGAGTCACTGCAGAAACAGGCATCGTATTTAACAGCCTTATTCACAAGCCCGATGGAGCAGCCAGAGGCCACACAGCTGACCAAAGGCAGATCAGCACTGACACTGGCCCACAGCCTCCAGTCCCAGTGGGGTGTTCCACCCAGTCGGACCTCCTGCCCTGCAGGTTCACCTGCACAGCATCTTACTCTGCTTTATTTTAGAGCAACGTTCTCCTACTGCACCGTCACGTTTTGCATAGCAGTGAAATAGCCAGGGGCAGCACACAATCTGTTGCCCTGTCTTTCTTTGCGGGGGGGGAGGCGTGCGCTGGACCATAGAGCAGAAGAGACATGCAAAGAGCCCTGCAGCATGCATGATCCTTCTCCCCAGGTGTCTGACAAGGCACTTTTGGGTGAAGAGAGCCCTCAGTGCAGCTGTGCCCAGAGCTGATGCTGCCAAACCAGCCCCTCTGCCAAGGCCTTGTCTGCTCCTCATGCTGCCAGCAAAAGCAAAGGTGGGGTTCAGGAAGCAACAGCATCCTTGTCAAAGCTGTGGTTTGAGTAATGAGCTAAACCTTCAGAAGTTTCAGGCTGCTTTATCCCGGGAGCACAGTGACAAGTGTAGCAAGACTATTTAACTGTCAGACTGCACAGAAAGTCCTGGAAGTGATTTTTTTTCCTCATACAGACATTAACCTTTCCCATGAAAACTGCAACCTTATAACTCCTTTATAGCTCTATCCCAGAACCCTCATAATCTGGGGTAATCTGGGTGTCTGTCATTTGTCCTTGTAAATTTGGATGCAAGCAGTTTTTTCAACCAGATTTAAAGCAAGTTGGATAAAGATTTATAATGAACACTTATAAATGGGAGTCGCCAACACTGAGTCTTGCAATGTGTGTTCCTCTAATCTTGAAAGTAATATATAAAACTCCAAACTTGGCTATTTTTTTCATATAATTTACATTATAAATAAAGATATCGAGCTATTTAGCTGACAAGAACATGCTTGAGGTGGATTATTCCTTTAGCAGAAGAGAGGAATATTCAAGGGGAAAAAAAGAACAGGAAATAAGTCCCCAGTAGTTTTCCTTCATGGACACAGAA